TTAGATAATATATAACCTTTATGCAATGAGTAATATAATAATATGCTGGATGTATCGTGCATTATAGGCGCGTATAAGTATGTGACTGCTAAGATGTTTCTATTTTGTTTTTTAATATTTTAGACTACTTTATTTAAATATATATTTTTTAACGTTTATTACTGATTTCTTTAAAACTTTCTAAACATAAATGAGAGAACCTGATTATTATTTAATATGATTATAATAACTAATAACTAATAMGTAATAGATAAGTTAATAACTGTCTAGTATTATACAACTATTTAAGTGATTTATAATTTGTGTTTCAATTTAAACATTTCAATATTTATATTATTCTAATTCCTTTAATTTATTCGAGATATAAACCAAGTAGAGAAATTCAAGGTCAATTTTTTTAATAATGTGTAAATATAAATTACAGCATTAAGTTAAAAATCTGTAATATGACATATTTAATATACTTAAGCATAAAAAACAGTAATTTAAAATTTCTTCAGCATTTTCTTCTCAAAAATAATAAATATTGGTTAATAATATAGAAATAAAAAATAAATAGCCTTGCTTCATGCTTGTCATTTATCAATCACAAAGCACGTGTAATATATATATACTTAACTATGGGATTACATTTCTACAGGAAAATGTTTGTAGTAATATAATTCAATAATTATATAACTCTTAGTTATCACAGTATCCACGATATAAAATAAGTATCACGATTTTATTATGTACGTAATGTATATCATTAATTTATTATGTTCAAAATTATAATAAAAATTCGAATTGGATATAAAACAATACTTAATTGCATTGAATGAGCTGTAAATTCGTAATAATTGTAGTGAACGGTCGGTTTCACGAAATTTTTTTAAAATGTAAAAAAGTTTACTATGCTGATGTTTGTTTGGCATACTTAAAAATAATCATTCATTAGTCAAACATGACTTGTACAATGTRTGTTGTACGTCTAGAAAGCTTGAAAAAATGTATTTGTAATTTATTTCATGAACTTTCCTGGTACAATACACGCTTTACATTTTAATATTTATTTTTATTTAGATATTTGTTAATTATCACTCATC